ATCGTGTCAGGAAGGTGAGCACAGACTGCTGGGCTATACCAAACTTTTAACAGTGATTATAGTTGGGTGGCAAGTGATGAAGACTTGATTTTATTTAATTTAAAATTTTTAATTATTATTATTAAGACTTGATTTTTAAAAATGTTTTCTTTTTCTAGTATCTGATAAGGGAAATCTTGCCAGTGTGGTAAAGCACATTAGCTATGGACCTTAAACAAATCATCTCACCTTTTAGGACTTGGTTGGTCTTCATCGAAAAACAAGAAAGGTTCAACAAAGTTCACCGAGTTCACATGATGTTTCATGCTGTAAGGACCTGGGGGATGGGGGGGTGGGGGGGAGCTCGGCATCTGGCTATTTCCGTTGGTGTCATTGCCGTAACCAGAGCTGCACCACTGGGTCTGTTTGGAGTTTTCGGAATTAGGGTCTCAGATACTCTGAGACGTTTAATTGCTTATTTATCTTTTAAAGGCGTTCTACTCTTGGGAATCAGATCCTGCCTGGCTTTGTAAGAGAAAGCCATGGTAGAAAAATAGGGCAGGTCCGATAGAGGACTGACTCTGAGAAACCTTCCCTACCTTTGCCTCGGATCTTACAGAACAAGGACGGGAGCTAGGTTTATTTATCCTGATGGGTTTTTTTCCCCCTTGAGAGTAGTCGATTTAATTTTTAAAACAGTTTTATTGATATCATTCACCTATCATACAATTCAATGGCTTAATTATATTAAAAGGAGTTGTGCGACCGATTTCTTTTAGTTTGCAGTCTGGTGTTTCTTTTTCACGCGTCCCTATTATTCCTTGCCTCCCCCCTCCCCTGTGTGTTTCTAAATATAACTCTTCGTATGTCTATTGATTTAGAGGACAGGGCTTCTCAGACATCTAGCGTGAATATTAATTGCCTGTGCGTCTGTAGTTACACACACAGACATATAACTGTACGTACACATGTGCAGGTCTGTGGTTGTCTGAAGCCAGTGAAGCCCCCTTGACAGAGAGTGAAGGCTCTTGCACTTGGTTGTGATCAGAGTCACGTGGAGGCCCTATTGAAAGACCTACTGCGGGGCCCACTCAGGACCACCTGCTTCAGTCCATCCGGGAAGATGGCTGAGAATGTGCCTCTCTGGCAAGCTGCTGTCTGTCATTTTGTTGTACTGCGGTGGCTTGCGTGATGCTTGGGAGCTATGTCACTGGTATTTCAAGTGCCAAGAGAGTCATCCCAAATGAGCACGTTTCAGCAGAGCTTCCAGACTCAGAACAGCCAACAAGGAAGGGCTCAGGTCCCCAAGTCAGAGGAAGAAGCCGCTGAAAACCTTAGGAATGACTTAGAAACATGGTCCAATACCGAAAACCTCTGCAAGGAAGCAGAGCATGGCCAGAGATACTGCCGGAGGAGGCCCACCCCAGGTCGGAGGGCACTTGAGACGGGACTGAAGAGGAGCTGGGTTCTGGGAGGGGAGCCCACCACGGTCACTTGAGTCGGTCAAGTCTGCGGGAGTGGGTGTGGGATCTTCCTTGGCTAAAGGGGCCTGACTCAAGGTAAGGAGAGACAGTTGCAAACAATCTTTTAATGATCTTGGAATGTGTGAAATAATGAACTTAGGAAAAATGGAAGTGGTCAAAAATAAAAGGGAACGCATAAAAATTGGTATCTTAACTATTAGTGAGCTGAAATGAACTGGTATTGGCTATTTTGAATCACAAAATATGTGGCTTACTATGCTGGGAATAACAGTCAAGAGGAATAACAATCAAGAGGAATGGTGTGGCATTCATTGTCTGAAAGGATCTTTTTAAAAAATGTATTTTTAATCATTTTATTAGGTGCTCATAC